AAAAAAGCGTCCAACCAACTGATTTGACAGAGGAGCAGGAAAAATGTCAAACTACGTGATTTTTATGCGAATGTGACTGTCGATACGCAGCCAGAGTGAATGAATGAGCCATAGTGATAGAGAGAGGTGGAGMGAGTGAGAGAGTGAGAGGGAGGGGAGGAWGGCTAGGGTACTACTTTTTTATCAGCTACTTCTGCTGCTTTTTTTTTGCAACCGAAATATTAGCCTGCAGTCAGTCGAGTTAGCAGAGTTTTTAGCTGCGGTTTATTCTGTGAGCGAGTGAAGCGAAGCTAATTTAAAGTCAATGTTRGGTTTGGGTCGAACCGTTTTTTCTGGCTACTTGCTAAGTTAATGTCTGAGCTGAGCGGAGAGCCAGGCAAATGATTTGTCAGGGTTTCATTTTGCATGGCACTTGGAGCTAATCCACAAATTGATGAGCAAACGCTGCGACTAACGGGCGGGTCGAGCAATGCCAACTATATAAACTTGGGAGATATTTTCTTAGGATAAGTGTGTACTCCGAGAGTTTTATGGCCAAGTGTTTAGGAAAGTCACTTGAATGTAGCTAAAAAATGTGCTAAAACGGTTCATATTTATATTCCTTGCAAACATTAAATGTTAGCTTGAACATTTTGTTTAGCTTTTAGCCAACATTTCGGCTGGCACTTTATTAAGCCATTCAATTGTTCGCCTAAATCCACTTTAACACAGCCTAAAGAGCACCCACACTGGAGAGCATATTAGAAACATATGCTGGCGAATGTGTACCCAAAAACGGGGACCCCAACTCGAACCTCGGCTGGCAAGCAGCTCATAAAGTAGCTGCAACCTTTTTCACTCTGTTATGGGGCAAGTCCCCGAGCTGAAACCTTTTGTCGAGTGCTTCTCAATGCCAAATACCAAACTAAGCAATGCACATATGTTTCCCCTGGCTGGCTCCATTAAATAAAAGTTATGTACCCAGCGCCGAGTCCCCTTGGCTCCGGCCGCTGCCTGACAATCTCTTTTCAACACTTGCACAAATATGTCGCCTCACAATAGGAAAACAAGAGGCGCATAATAAAAATAAAATAAAATAGAATAAAAGAAGCAAAAGGGTTGAAGTAAAAATGGAATTAAAATATGTGAGTTGCTTGCCGGAAAATATTGCACCTGCAGCTGCTGCTCACGCTGGACAGGCTCAAGCAGCAGGCAGGCACACACACACATACACACCAATACCAACATCTACACACAATTTGAGCGGCCATTACCAACCATTTTGACCACAATAAAATGACAAATGCCCGAAAAATCTGGCCATGTTCGCACACGTTGCCAACTGGTTACGGCTACAACTCCTGCTCCTGCTCCTGCTCTTGCTCCTGCTCCGGCTTTTGTGTGTGGCAGATGCTGTCAAACAAGTCCCGTGACGAGCATTGCAACGGCATGTCCACGGCGGGCGGAAGAGCGCGTGTGCTTCAGCCCTAACTTGAGCCTAACAAGTGTCGTTTGGCTGTCAGAGCTGGACAGATGGACAAGCAGACGGACAGACAGACAGGCGA